ATATCCAGGAGAAGGCGCGCACATACAAGCTGATGAAGGACCCGGCGATGCCCAAAGGTAGATGGAACCACGATGATCAGCGCCAGCTGTGCGGCGCGTACCGCGACAACAGGATCGTGCCGTACGAGGGAGTCCTTGTGTCCTCTTTCACACCCGCGCAGCAGGACCTCGTTGTCAAGATCGTGGAACAGTACCTTCTGTACCTCCCCGCACGGGCGCGCGAGCTGCGGCTCGAGGATGTCAAGGAGTTCTTCCACAAGACGTACTTTAGCTGGATCGGCGGTTTCGGTGATCACGATGCCTTCTACTTCCGCATCCAGAGCCCGGTTATCATTGTCGAGTTCGACCACCACTCCGGTGTGTTCCTTACTAATGGCGAGCCCGCTAAGTTCCATATTCATACTGTTCTTCGGACGCCTAACGCTGGTGACTATGGCTGGGCGCTGCGTGATCAGATCGAGCCCTTCCACCAAGATTACGTGTGGGAGGGATAGGGTAGGCTAGATAAGAAAGAAATATGATGAGATGCTCTGCTATTGAAACTAGAGCATTCAGATGCAATCGTGACTCCTCAAACTTCTTTCAGTGAAAGACTTGTTCATATAAGACGCTTTCTTTAAACTTGGCATGAAGTCTCTGGGGGACTTTCGGTATAAAAACCGGCGGCAGCTAACGCCTTAGAAATATGTATGAGACTCAAGACATATAAATTGCACTATTATTTCTACTCTTCTCCGGCACATTGTGCGCCAAAAACTACTTTCCTCAATATTACGAATAGTTGTCAGCCGTCTGAGTTCTCTTCCTTTGGATTTCTCTACACCAGTGGAATAGGCCAGGCCTGACACATGTTAGTCGAGTATGGAAAGGCCGGAGAAGGATTCAACAGTACCTAACCGTGGTTAGACCTCTGTTGTCGACAAAAAGTTGTGTCGCTTCCCAACCTCGTGATGCTCTTTCCTCTAGCCACTCGAAATCGCAATTCTACGCCTTCTATTATACCTTACTGGAAGGCTCAACGCAGGAATACAGTTCGCATTCATACAGCAAGCCGTCTCACTTGTCCAAGCCGTCTGTATACCTAGACTCTTGACCTATGATTCCTCAACTATATCACAGCACAGGATTACCAACATTAGCTGCATTTAGTCTACCATCGATTCCCCATCACACAGAGATTACAAACTCCACGTCACTACATAAAACAGTTCTCCACGAACAAACATAAACAGATTTCCAGTCCCCGACGTATTTTCGCCAACATGAAGCTTTCCCACCTCACTCTCACCGCCACCGCAATCCCCTGCGTCCTCGCAGATTTCTGGATGGTTTACCAACGTCGGTCCGAACAGATGGGTCGCGTGGAATTCACATCGTACGGAACGTCCTTCGTCCGCGACGAGCCAAACTGGACATGCGAAGACGACGCCTTCCGGCACCGCGTCGTGCCTGACCAGCAAGACGCCACGGGCCTGAACTACGGCGTACAATTCGACCCCTGGAGTTCGCGGGGCGGGCCCCTTTGGCACGATCCCCTCGTAGCTCTCAAGATGAATTTGTATCCTAGTGCGTTGGGATTGCAGAGTAAGTCCATCCAGCCGAACCCTTCCAACTCTCCACATGAATGAGTGGTCTTGTGTAGGACTGACGATGATACGCTACTATTTAGCTATCTCCGACGAACGCGATTGGGCCATGACGAACGTCAACAACGACCTCTCTGGTCAGTGCTACCTGAATCGCACCTTCGTGCTCAACTTGGATTGCTGGTTTTCGCACCCTGATGCGCGGGTGGAGCAGTTCCATGTCGGCATCAATGGATCCTCGATGTTCTTCTGCGAGACGGACATCGAGGTCGAGGATATCTTTGCCTATTCTAAATCATTACAAGTCACTGATACTGCCCTCTTGCCTCCGAATATCCCTACCGCTTCTGTGGCGAGTTATTGATGTGTCTGAAGAATGAATTTTCGGCTTTCGGTTTTTTAGTCAAGAGGGGGGTGAGTTGAAGTGAGGCAACTTGAAAGGCTGCCTTGGGGCATTGATAGATAGTATTGAACCTTCTGAGAGCTAGTTAAAGTCGTAACAATACACATGCTCCTGTTATCATGAGTTTGAAACTTTTTTTTAAACGCGTTACCGATAATTGGCGCCGAAAGCCGCACAAAGCCGCACATCACGATAACATTTCGCATGATATAACAAGGGCTGGTTTCAGGGCTTGGGATTAACTCTATTCAGAATACAATAATCTGTTATGGCTGCCTAAGACCTTGATCATTCGGATTCTCTTCCGTTCAGGTGGCTTGGCTACGAATCTATATATAACTCTGGCCAATAGAGTAAACCTCCGACCTCGGCGTCTATGTCTTAGTTAAGCGAAGGCTGAATAGCCTCACGTAGGACATCAGGAAGAATATTAGTAATAGACGAGAAGACGCGTTTCAGCGCGTGTAACGCGTTCGGAGGGTCTGAGACTTGCAGCCTCGTATTCGCTACGTATGACAGAAGCCCTTCATGCCCGGTGGATTCCTTGGTACTTTCTACAACATCGCTAAACCACCTCGCGCTATTATTTCACCAAAAGCATTGGTGCGGGGAGGATCAGCATCATACAGCAATTGCTGCACCACCTGCCTAATCGCCTGGTCGGTCTCGTCCGGCTCCCGCGCACCGTACGCAGTCGCAGGCTTACCGGCACCTATCGACGTCCGTGCGAACATCTCGCGAAGCGAGGGCCGTTCCTGGAATTCTTCGTACATGCCATCTCTCAGGAGGGCTCGCAGTTGAGGGTCTAGGTTTGGCGCTCTGTTCCTGCCGTTCCGGGGGTAGAGCTCCCATGCGTGGGTCCTGGAGCCCTCGCACTCTCTGGCTGTTTTCATGTCTACGCGTGGTAGGATCAACCACATCATTTCCTGGGAGATATTTTAGACTAGCAGGGGAGAAAGGGGGGTGGGGTAAGTCGGTGGTGAGTGGTAGGTAGTTGCTGGCTTACGTGCATGACTTGTTGAAGATTGTAGAGTTCGGACTGCCTCGCTGATGCCCTGTGGTCTGCCATGCCGAAGTCGATGAGGACTAACTTTGGTGCTATTCGGTCTGTTGATGGGTATTTCCCAGTTAGTAACTAACTGTCTTCTGGACTATGTTTCATAGTTGAGGGGGTTGGGGATCTGTTCTGAGTCTGGGTACAGTATGGGACACGGGTTGAGCTCAGTAAGACTAATATAATAGCGGGAATACTTACGCTCTGGGACGTCAGGTTCATAATCGCCGATCATTATGTTCCTCGCGGCGATATCATTATGTGTGACCGTCCAAGAATCCTCATCGTATTCCTCCGTTGGCACCTCTAATTGCAGAGGTGCGTCATAAGGGGCCGCTTTGCGCTGGGTCATTCCGACGCAGAACCGCACCACTGTCTTGATCAGCACGCACACTATCATCGTAACTCACGGTATTATTCATCTGGAGCGAGGGGTCCAATCCTACTTACTGCAATGCATCAAACTCCAGAGAAGGCGGTTAGGCAATTGGATTTTGAAATGTCGTTGTCTTGCCACAAAATCCAGCAGCGGCCCGTTGTCTAAGTAGTCTAGTATAATTGCCGGGCCATCGTGGTACGCCAGTGACTTGAATATGTTCTCCGGGGGGTTCGTGACTCTTCGTAAGATGCGTCTCAGAAAGTCCGCTGTCCTCCCGGCTCTTGAGCGGAATATCTCCACCGTGTGCGTATAGTCGACCAGGTGGGCTATATGTGCATGGCCGCGCAGAGCCTGATTTCAAGCTTCTCGTGAATATAAAGTCGATAGCCTGCCCCAGGGGCGTGGGGAACTACCTTACCTCGAGTTCCTTCGACTCAACATAAAAGTCCTGCACATCTCGGTCGGCTACTAGCGGCCGTTTGAGCACCACTCTCCGGGGGTAGCGTCTCGGGTTGTTACGACGGATGTGTAAGGGATCCTTATCCTTTAATAACGTCGTCAACCCGAAGGCGCCGTGGCCTAGTATCTTCTCGAACTCCCACCCTCCTTCTCCTGTGAATACGTCTTTGTACTGTCGCTCTCTGAACCGAACTGTTCGTCTTACCCTTGCGCTTGTATCATTACTAAGGGTCGACATCACGGTTTTGAAGGAAGGACAGTTCCGGTTTCGGGTTTTGTTGAGCGCCGGGTAGCACGTGAAACGACGAATGGGAATGCGATAACCGTGGATTAGGAGGCTTAAAATATCCCATTCTGTCTTAAAATCGAAATCTACTATTGAATTATTCTGCATAGCTGTTTTCAGCTGTTTAGATGCTGCGTCGGTGTGTGACACTGACAAAGGTTCAAAGAGGAGAGAAGAAAGGAAAAGTATTCAAAGCTCTCTGAGATTTTCTTTATGCTTTTCTTGGTTAGTGATTTTTACTTCTAGACACATTCCAGCCCTAGAAAGACTAGCGGTAGAATATCCTCGCAATCGAATCGCTAGATATTGTACACTTCGTTGAGCATAAATAAGCAAGTATACATATGCTATGCTATACCTTGTTATATAACATATTATTTGCAATGAACAAACTTGGCTAGCATCTTCCCTCTGTGTCTACCAATCAGCCAGATAGTGATGTTCAGGCAGTACTTCAAGTCATGTACTAGATCATCTACGAGGGCAGAGAAGTCATCATTCTAAATACACTCTGACTGTGGTATCGCCGGCACAAGCGCTTGAGGGCCTGGTGTGTCACCGCGCGTTTTATTGACGTCGCTCAGAATCGTTTGATGAAACAGATGGCAGATAGTAGGCAAATTCATTAAATTAAATGGTCTCAACATACGGAATAAATACTCATAGTATATCAAGCGCTTAACTAACGGTTTGGAGATGAGGGTTAATTTAGAAAAGGCAGCCTAGTTAGGTTTTGCCTGGGCCACATGGAATCGCCGAAGAAATGTGAGGCTATACATAGACTAGAATAAAACCCCTAGCCTACGTGAGAAAGTGAAATCCAATAAACAGTTGGCCTCGTGGCCCAATGGCAAGGCGTCTGACTACGACAATTCTAGGGGTCAAACCCGCCGGAGAAATCGCGATCAGGAGATTCTGGGTTCGACCCCCAGCGAGGTCAATATATGTCTTCATTTTTTCGTGCTATTTCTTTTACCGAATCAATTGTCAAGAGTGAAAACCGTTTAACGCCGGTCGGAATTTCCGATGAGGAAGCTAAATGCGCTAAATGCGGACTATGCGATGCTATTAAGTTTGAAAGGGCACTATGGCAGGTACTATAGTAGCAAGGTTGGTATATTGACTATTAACTGGCCGGGCTGGCTAGGGTGGCCAGGGCTACCCCCTAGGGGACCGTATCAACTTCTAGGGGCAAAAGTGTGATAAAATTTCCTGTATATAAACGTATAAAATCACACACTACCTAAGAACCATCATGCCAAAAAAAACTCGAAACCAGTGATCTAGCTTTTAAGGCATGGAATTTTCAAAGGAGAGGGCGGCAACTCTTAGGTTAAATTGGGATTTTTCAGTCCAGGTATCTAACCTTTTTTTAATACATCTTCAAGTGTAAGAAAGTTCTGTTACATGTATGTATAGTATCGAGGTTAAAAATATAAATAGAAACAAAGACCTGCATAGTTAATCAACCCAGATTCAGACACAAGAGCATGTCACTCTAGGCGGAGTAGGTGTATCTGGCTCTAGGACACCATCACGGTTAAAATATGATATGTAAGCTTACTCCTATACTGATATCAGGTACTCACAAGGGGATGGAAGGATCTTAGAAAGTGGAGATAACTAACATTATATCTATATAAAGGACCGACTCCCCCCTCTTCAAAAGAGAGAAAAGGTTAGGAATCAATGATATTGAGCCCTTGACCCATACTACGACCTACCTGCTACCCTTCGGTGCCTTGACGTCACTCCAGGGACCAACCCACCTGGCAACTGATCTCGATTAGATCCTTACATGGCACCGCTTTCGTTTAGCCTCCCCTATATTACATATCTGGATGCTAGACCCGGGGATCGGTATAGAGTATGGTAGTGTTAGGTTATGCTGCATGTGAAGGTACTGATGTATTCATACCGGCGGGTTCACCTAGCTGCGAAAATCATAAGTGGCTTCTCAATGCTAAGTGTGAGATCAGTGGTATAGTAGAATGCCAATACTAATGGTGTTTAATTCGCTTGATTGATAACCGCTGTAAGTAAACCTGATACCAATCAAAACAAAATCATGCGCTTCGTTAACCCCTTCATAAAGTATGTTAGCTCTCCAGTACCCTGTCTTTTATTCCCGAACTCCTCTACCCAGGCGGATTAATACCTTACTCTCCCGAACCCTGCCGCCGAGTTCGATGTGTATTCTCGTCATGGCCTTGCTGTGGTGGGCCAGAAGGCGAATTCGCACGCCGAACATTCCCGAGTCCTAAGAGCTCCCATGGATTTAACAGCGATTTGATACCACCGTCTCTGACGACGACTCCAATAACCATGAACATATATGCATTGCATAACATGATGCAAAGTATTCCATAAAAAAAGCCGACGTATGCGAATGACTTGCTTACTCTCTTTAGTTGATAAGTAGACAGTGCAAAAAAGGCGCAGGAAAACTGGGCATTCCAGAAACTGAGTTTGAACCGCGATCTCAGCATTTTCGCCAGCCATATACAGGAAACGTAACACAGCCCTATCAAGCAGGTGAACCATGACTCGGTTGCCAGCGTTCTAGCCAGTACATCGGCGAAGGAACCGAGCCGGTCGCCGCCGTAGGCGATATCAAAGCCTCCAGGTAATAGGCCGGGAGTGTGAGGTAATCTCAGGTATATCTGTTCTCCGAGGTGTTGGATGGCCAGTCCAGTTTGGGCCAGGGAAGCAAATGCAATGAAACTGTCGATTATATGACCTGTGGATAGCGGTATGATCCCATAGAGGACCACACACTGTAAGCTAGCGGCTAAAGGAACAAACAACACGCCCACAGCTAGGATGAAGGAACTGCTTATCAGTGTGGCTATCGCCCGGCTACTATCAAGCTGTGCAGCCAGGTCGGTCCTAGTAACAGCTACCACTGTGAGAGCAAGGAAGGGTTGAATAAACTGTGCTATCCGATATCTGAATGAATAGGGGGCTCCTCTATGTAAAGCTTGTTAGTAAAGAGACATGCGAGCGTTAAGGTCAAAGAGGGAGAAGACCTACGCCGACACTTTCAGCATGTTGCATAGTACCACAAGACTAACGACTACAGCAATCCACCATAGCACCCACAGAGCTGTGAGATGGTTGGGGCGGTTGTCCACAAACTTGCTGGTAATGATGATGATGGTCGCAAGGGCGGTGGGCATCATAGCAGCGTGGCCTACTGAGTCAGGATTCTTGATGGTAACTTGGAACAGCTTCGGCCACACGCAGTAGCGAAAGATAACCAAAGAGAGAAAGTATAGGAATAGAAATATTGTTAGAACAAGGTAGGCGATACTGGCTTTGACAAAGTAATCTGTGATCTGCGGGGACACGTCGGAAATGGCATGCGTCACAATAGCCGTGATGCCGGTGCCCACGGGCCAGGCAAACCAGCTGAAATCGAATTGTTGCAGGCATTTCCATGGACCCTCTTCCCGTATGGGCTCAACAATCCAGTGTGGTCCGCTTTCTTCGGTCGAGACGGCGGAGGCCGCTCCGGAGCCCTCGTCAAGGGAGGTCATGTCTTCAAGCTCGATCCCCTCCTCCTGGTTTTCGTTACTACCGGACCGAGGATTCAACATTGTGTCTTTTGCCTGCAGGTTGATAAATAGAACAATACAATATTTCAATAGAGGCTTCAAGTATGCCAGTCAAGTTAACAGAACTGTCACAGAAAGATCTGATGCAGAGATATCATGACTCCTCTGCATACACGTATTTAGGAATTAAGAGTTCCGTCCCAAAAGGTAGACCACATCGTGACTACTTTCAGTAAGGTAAAACTCAGACGTCACCCTTCCGTCTGTTATGTGCGATTTCCAACAGAAGGGTAGGCGGCATCTATAAGTTACTTCTCTTGTAATTGAGAGGACCAAGGGACTTAGTGAGCAACTGACCTATGCTGTGGCTATTAACCCCTTGCACCTACCTACCTATATGCGACTGTGTAGAGAGCTATATACTCAATATTGGGGGGCTATATCCGACAAGAAACATGGGATACAACAATACTAAAGTTAGTTACTGTTATGATCTACAGCCTTGACACAAGAACAAAGGATAGGTATGTAACCAGTCAGTAGCTAGCTAGCACGAAGGGACCCAGGCTCTTCGTGAAACAACAGGAATACCTAATCACCCCTAGATTGAACTACAAGATCTTAAAGTTACTAGGTAATCTCACTCAGATCAACACCTCAAGTCGCTAGTCCACAAACTATGAATATCCTGAAATAAAACAAGATAGTATAAATTGCTGTATACAAGCTTTTGGTATCTAGGTGAAAAGTAGATTTCATTACCCATCTCCATCTATATACCCCCAAAACACCAACAAACGCCAACGAAACATGCATTTTCTCGCAAAGACCTCTCTGTCCAATGGCCCAAGATGACAGACTCTTCTAAATGCCCCCTATATACCCCAAATGCAACGCTAACCACCCCCCTATACCACCATCATGATAAAAAACAGCCGCGTTCACAAGTCCTTGACAAGCACATAATCCGTCGCAGGGAACGATCCAGTCATGAACTGAATAGACCCACACCGCCGATATCCCAAGCGCGTATACAGCCTCTCAGCACTCGTATTGTCCTCCCACACAGTAAGCCACAACTGCTTAAACCCCTCAGCGCGCGCCTGCTCCTCCACAACAGCAATAAGCTTGCTTCCAATACCGCGGCCGTGCGCGGACCCGTCGACGTACAGCCGCCGCAGCTCGGCATGTGTGCTCGGATCCCCCGGGACACAGGGCTCCGTCAGGCCGCGGACGAGCTGCACGAGTCCCAGGACCTTGCCGGTGTCGGCGTCCCGGGCCACCCAAGTCTGCACCGCCGGATCCCCCATGTCTGCCAGCAAGGTGACTTCGCTGTACGTCTCTGCTAGGAAGTCGGCTAGGTCCGCGGCTGGTATCGAGAACCCAAAGGTCGCAGTGAATGTGTCTGCGCCTATCTTGGCTATGGTTGCTGCCTCTGTGATCAGGGCGTGCCCTATTGTAATGTCTAAGGGTGTTGGCTCGATGAGTGTTGGAGGGGGTACTACAGGCACCAGGACCTCGTTGGTGGTGGTGATTTTGACTGTGGCCATTTTGATGTGGTGCTGATTATGAACCGCAAATGGAAGATCGAGAGTACAAAATAGGGGAGCAAAGAAATCAAGAGTTTTGGTCTATAAGCCTATGCTGATGCAGAATTATGAGAAAACAAAACCGGCTCTTGTTTACAATCAATTCAATTCATGTACTCAGGTCCTGACGTGTCTGGAATCTACCTAGATTTATATGTACTTAACTTATCGGAGACGTCCTCTTTTTTCTGGCGTATGTCTCTTGTCAATCATTCCACACTAGAACTTTAGAAGCCAACCATCTCCACACCCTTTTGTCAATTTTACGCCCTTCTGCACTTGCTCACACAGTTGCAAAAGAAATGAATACTGTGCACATGTATAGAGAGAAGTGAAGATTCTTAATACATACCTTTGGAGGTTTAGGTTGCCTCGAAGCAATTGACTAATACTTTCTAAACCAAAATGCCCATGTAAACCCCGATCAGACCCCGATATTAAACAACTAAAATCCCACGCATGGGAAGAAGAAACTATTGTGGTAGCTGCAGCCTGAGGTATCCGCAACAACTACTCGCCAATCATTGACAATTCATACTAGACGCTAAAGGCAATACCTCCCGAGCACCGAGCACCGGACCTGATCCGGATACTGTGCTTGGATCTCGAGTAAGTCATCTAGAACTGTGGCTGAAAATCTGCCTTTGGAAGGATCTAGATGTGGCTAGACAGTGCATTAACAACCGTAAGATCATTGGGCAGCCTCGAGCGCACCGACCCACTAAAGAGTCGAGCTATATGCAGTACTAAGTACTTCCACTTTTGCCTGCTGCAGGGATAAGCATACTCAGTTC